GCTGAAACTTTAGGGGAATGTTCGCTACTCATGTATGACCAAAAATTTTCAAGTTCAGCTCAAGCGGTCTTGCTATTTTTGTTATTTAGAAAAAGTGCGCCCATCACCTTACCAACAAGCACAGGACGAGTTTGTTGGCTACTGAACTGGATTTCGAAGCATAAATAATTATACATACAATGATGTAAACACCCACACACACATACACACCAAACAGTACATCATCATTTCTCAAGTGAGGTCGCTGCTAGCTCACTATCGTTGCTAGCAAGCTGCTAGCTTATATCTGATATCGATTCAGTGGGGACGCTTTGTTGTTGGCTGTATTGCTCGACATCAGTGTTCGCAGCTGTGTGGCAGCAGCATCGCTCATACCGGATGCTCCTCTGCTTGCTCTTTTCCCCGGATTTCGTCTTTTTTTTTCTCTTTCCGATTGGGACTCGTTGCTTTTTATCCAAAATCCATTGTGCACCTGTAAAAAAAAAGACTGGGATTGGCCCATAGCATGCTAATTTTCGCATCTAGCTTCCCCGCAATTTTGCATTCTCTTTTTTTGTATTTATCGAACGGACTGTATGTAAAAATAGAGCTATGCAAAGCTCAGAATGGAACAGTTCAGCATAGCTGTTTTGATCTTAGTAACGTTACCAATGTGGGATGAAGTTATATATATGAAATCTAATTATATTATATTATATATATATGCGTAATTGGATAATATAGAATTAGATTTTATTTTTATACATTTTTTTCTGACATATATGTGTCAGAAAAAAATTAATAAAATGAAAAGAGTATTTAACATACATGTATTTTTAGATTCTTCGCATGTGTATATATGTGCATATATAATCTAAAAAATACATGTCAAAGAAATTAGGCAAATGAAGAGGAATGTTTTGATCCTTTAATTCGTACACGCTCCTGTTCAGCAATACAATTTGACCTGGTCAGTACGGCGACTGTGGTTTAAATAGATTAAGTATAATAATTGCCAAAACAAAAATACATATCGTTCTATAATCTTTTTACCTTATTTTTGCCCTGTTTTTGTCTTTTTTTTTTGCATTTTACCCACAAAAAATAAACTAAGCAAAATTTTTTTCATCCAAAATAACTGAAAAAAATAAAATATTTTTGAAAGATTACTGAAATTGTTTTGACTCTACTGGATAAGCTCCTGCTGTACACACACGTGCAGACCACACACAGATAGGGTGTCACACACACACAGATGAAGGCCTATTTAGTGTTTATCTTAGTCCTTTAATAAATACAATTTACTCCCTCTCTAGTTAATTTAGAATGTGTCACTCACACTTTATCGCACTGCACATTTCTTTTACCCATTACTGCCAAGACTTGTTGCTCGCTAAGTGAAAATGGGAGAAGCGGCTACTAGCTATAGTTAATGCCTTTGTCGCCTTCCTTTAGCATTTCCCTCAGTTCCCCCCA